CCTATCTATAAAATTAATAAATATTATTTTTACAAGAAGGAATTAAGTAAAGGAAAAGAATAAATTAATTTGTAGGTGCTACAACACGCCTAACACCACTTCTAAGATTGGCTCGGAAGAGCGACGGAAAGCGACCGATGATAAGGAGACGGTCGAGCTGTGGAAAATGTAAGAGCGTCTGGAGAAGCGGCTGGATGCCCAAAACCCCTACTGCCAGGCGGTCTTTAGCGAGGTAACGCCCTTCTCTAGGAGAATAATGTCCTGCCCTCTCCCTGACAACTTTAAGACCCCACAGGTCAAAGCATACAACGGGACGACCGATCCCAGGATCACCTTGCTCGCTTCGGGCGAACGTGGTTATGTATGCATACCCCGAAGATATTAAGTGTTGGTGGTTCCTGGCGACACTAGAGGGGCAAGCTTGTGAGTGGTTCCATAAGTTTCCCAAAGGATCGATAGACAAGTGGAGCAACTTGACCCACAAGTTCTTGGAGCACTTCGCGTCTAGCTAGAGGCAAAAGCTCCCATTCACGCATCTGCTTAGTGTGAAGATATCGGAAAGGGGAGCAACTCCGGGAATTCATCAATAGGTGGGAGAAGGAGGCTAGGGACGTCCAAGGCCCTGATTGCCATGCTCTAAGCGGCACTCACCCAAGGGGATATGCGCACGGAGCTGCGACGAAATCTGCTCTCGACCTATCAAGAGATTTTGGCCAGAGAGAAGTACCTGGAGTTGGAAGAAGAAGATGATGAGCCACCTGTCCGGAAGGAGAAGAAAAGTGGACCACCAGTGGCAGAAAGAAAGAAGAGGAAAGACTACGGTAGGGGGCCGAACCCTACCGGATATCAGGCAAACAGACATCCCGTCCATGCGGTGCCGTCCTTACCTGCCCCTCCTCAAAGACGGAAAAGCTATGGCGTTCAAGACGCACCCAAATACTGCGAGTACCACCGTAACAACACCCACAACACTTCAGAGTGCGTTACGTTGAATAAGGAGATGGACCAGCTAATCACCAGAGGGCCGCCCCCTCGGTTGGAGCGACTAGCGTCAGAGAACCGGACATGGAGGAGACCGGCGGCCCCCGCCACGGCAATCACATCAGGGAATGGGCAGGAGGACGGACGACGACATCTAGGGAGAGATTGCGACGACCTGGATGAGGAAGAGAGGCAAAATTTCCGACACTTGGGATGTCGGTTCATTATGGGCGGCAACACTGGAGGGGACTCGGCGTCCTCACAGAAGAATAGAGAGGGGGGGGGGTTACCAACTCTTGTAAAACCAATTGATGTTAATTTAGAGATAATTAAAAATACTTTTAAAAAAGATAGTATATTTTTAAAATTTAAAAAATTTTAAATTTAAGTATCATGCTAATAGATAATTAAAAATAATATATTTATTTAGAGATAATTAAAAATATTAAAAATATTAATTTAGAGATAATTAAAAATAATATATTCTATAGTTTAATTTAAGTATCATTTGCTAATAGATAATTCAAAATAATATATTTATAAATTTAGATCATAAATGGTCTAAAACGTAATAAGTTTTCTAGTCATTAAATCAAATCATGAAATTAATATATTTAAACTACTAAATAATGTGTAGTATTTTTCTAGTTGAAGATTAAACCAATCATATAGTACTTTTTTAATTTTATATCATTATTAAAACATGTATTCAAAATTAATTTTTAAGGGTGGAAAGAGTTACATGTTTATTAATTATTGAAAGCTTTGTTATACATAAAGAAAGAAAAATATTGAATTCAAAAAGAATATTATTATAAAATGAAAATCTAAATTTCATATTTAAATCATTAAAAAATGTCATCCTAAAATATTTAATTGATAGTTTCTTATCTGAAAATTAAGTGAAATAAATCACATAATAAATACGCATATCAACTTTCTATATGAGTCTCGTTTTTATTTATAAAAGATTTATTAAAATTTTAATAATTTTATTTTGAATAAAATTAAAATTTTAATTTAATCTCATGTCAAGTATTATTTGTAGTATATTAAACTGTTAATCACACGTTGAATTGTTTTTTGTGTGAATGTTAAATATTTATATAACTATATTAATTATATACTAGTATTCTAACCCGTGCCAAGCACGGGGCCCAACTAAATTTTTGTTGATTATAAAAATTTTCTTCAATTTTTTAAGATTATGTTCTTTTGGATTCTAATTCTGAGAATCTATTTGGTTAAAAGGAATTAATTTTTTGAAAGAATACAACTCTACAATTACATTTAGGTTGCATCAGTGGTAGACTCATTTTTCTTGGAAAAATAATTTCTCCAAGAGGAGAAAATGAATTTTTGGTATGCTTTCGATGAAAGTTCATTTTTATTCAATCATCAGATACTTTAATTTCTCGATTGAGTTCATAACTTCGTGAATTTGTGGATTTGAGGCTCTTAAAATCCTTACCTATTTCAGATTATGTACACTCTATTTCCCCAATTTATTTCGGTAAATTGAACGATTATGAATCGCCCCAAAATTACATACCTAATTTAGAATCGTATTATGTGTAATTAAATTATTTATTTCGCCAATTACTTTTTTTATGAGTAATATTCTACCTATATATACATTCTCCTCAAGAAAACCCACCACACCCCTGCATTTTTTTCTTGAGGGTTTCAGACCTATTTGTTGTTCCATACATGTTGAAGACCGTTTTTTTCTCGAGGGTTTCTACCCATATATGCATTCTGCCTGTTTACACACTTACATATTCTCCACTATAACAATATCTTTTCACTTGCTGCCTGTTTATACATGGTTGTGTGTTACTTGCTTTGGCATTTAATAGAACACACAACTCACAAATTTGTATTGATATTTCATACTTTGATATTGTTGCTGACTTTTGTTGATGTTGTACTTGATCTGAGATTGTTTTGATTTTTCTTCCATCCAAACAGATATGGATTCAGATATTGGGCATGGTTCCTGGGAGAGGTTGACAAAGTTCGAGAACACAGGTAAGGACAACTAACGGGAGAGGTTGACAAAGTTCGAGAACACAAGCAGTAAGTTCGAGATATGGATTCATTACTTGCTCAAATTTTTTGTTTTATATTTTTTGGCTTATTTGATTTTGTTGAATGTACTTATCGGCCTACCCACTATATGGATATTGGACTTAATCGAAAATGAAAGTATTAGTTCATATGATAGATACTCTACACGTTGGTTAGAAGTTAGAACATTGAAATTAAGATGAAAAATTTTAAGATCCTAAAAAATCATAAAAATAAGATTGTTGCTTTCTCAATCAATTTTCTGATTCTTGAGGCTATCGTTTCCCTTCTTATGGTAGTTTACTTAGGTCTGCAACAAATGTTTTTAGTTGTTAAAATCTGAGGATCAGGTGAAGGTCAAAGTTACACTGTAAAACAAGACTGAAACAAAATGTTACTTACATATTCTGATATGCACAACTTTTTTGAAAGCATTGACTGTTGCTTTTGTTCATTATTATGATCTGTCCATCCTAATTTTTGAAAACAAATGGTGCTGTTTTGGGCAGAATTTCATGATGTTTTGTGCTTCTAAAGCACTGGTTTGGTTGGAAATAAATTCTTATTGTTATATTCTGCATTTTGAATACTTATTTTTTGACCATTTGCATGCTGATTTATTTCTCCAAAACAGGTTATGTATGTTGATTATAATTAGGTGTAGTTGTGTAAAAGAAGATCTATGTTCTTGCTGATTTTTAAGAAAACTGCACCTCTTTTATTAACTTTCTTGCAAATTGATATAATGAATCCATTGCATGATGGACATAAATTAGAGTAAGCAATTAGAGATGCTTGAATTCTAAGGTTCAATTCAAACAAAAGGGGTCTTGATTAGAGGAAGATTCACTTAGAGTTGGATGACATACACATGTTTGCATTGTTTTTCTTTCATTTTGTCCTACACTTCGGATTATTAGAAATAAAATGTGTTCTTAAAAACTTTAATTTGGCAGAAAATTGTAGGGTCTGCATACATTTGTTGAAAGAATATTTGGCACTTCAGATGTGAAGAGAGTTGTTATGGAGCAAGTACACTCAGAGTCATGACGTTGCAGCTTTGTAAGTAAAATAGGCTAATCACTTAAGTTTTATCTTTGGCTACAATATTCCTAATTTAAAATATATTTATGGTCTACACATACTTTTCGAGAGGTGAAAACAAAATATTTTTAAAGTAGAGTTCATTCAGTTCATAAGTTTTTTCCCATATTGAACATTTTTTGTGGGAAAGCAAAGATAAGGAAATTTAACTTTCATTTTTCATTTCTTTTGTGCACTAGCAATGCTTTAGGGTTCAATTTCAAATGCTGCAGTCCGAATTTTTATTATGTGTTTTTGTAGTTGTGAAACAAATCTAAGTAATGAATTTTAATGGGTTCATCATTTTAATAGTGGGATGTTATTAACATTGAATCTTCCAGGCTGTTAAGACTACATTAATTTGAAAATTGTTTTTTCTCTCTTTTTGTTAGGATCCAAAGGAAAAGGCTAAATCAGAGACAAGAGATTGGTTGAATAATGTGGTATGGGCCTGATTATTATCCGACATTCTATTCACACTACAAGAAAAATGCTCTATAGTGTGAGTACAATCCGTAGTTAAAACACAAAAAACCGTCATTAAAACATTTTAATGAGAGGAAAATTACTCTCATCGACCGTCATTATAGCCTCCGTAGCTAATTACAAATAATGACGGGTTACAAGTCCTCTCATTAAAATTATTTAATGAGAGTATTTTTACCTTCATTAATACATATTGTTATATATATATATATATATATATATATATATATATATTGTTAAATATACTAAATATATATTTACTATATTTAATATTTATGTATATTGGTAGCTACCATATTTGTATAGGGTGTATTAATTATTGTTTCCTATTATCATTAGGAAACCTTTGTATATATAGAACATGTAATCTCCCTAATCAATCATCAGAAAATATTCATTCTTCATGGTATCAGAGCCTTAATTCTCGGCTTCCGTTTTCTTCCCAAAAACCTTGATCGGCAGTCAACCTCCCCTCCTCTCTGCCGATTTCTTCCCAACCCTGATCGGCAGCCCTCCCCTCCCTTCTCCTCACTGCCGCAGATCCTCTCCCTACTCACCACCATGACGGATTCTTCCGCCGTCACCGGCAAGGCTATCTCAAAAACTGAGAACAACTCTTCCCCCAACTCTCCACATCTAGCCTTCACAACTATATCTAATATCAAACTCCATGTTCCTGTGCAACTCAGTTTGTCCGAGCCAAATTACAAAAAATGGAGTCGATTGTTCCGTCTATTGATTCTCCGTTTTAATCTCAAGGGATTCATTGACGGCACCACCATCGCCTCCTCCGCAGACGACGCTGAATGGTATCAATTCGATGCCCTAATTCAAGGTTGGATCTTGTCCACCATCACGGACGAGGTTTCCGACCTAGTGCTTGCCAACAATCTCTCCGCCCATGCTCTATGGAAGGCTATTCGCAACCTCTTCCACGACAATAAGCATGCACGGGCGATGCAACTGGAGCATCGTTTCCGCACAACCGTGAAGGGCAACCTCTCCATCAACGACTATTGTCGTCTCCTCAAGAACCTCTCCGAATATCTCGATGATGTGGATGCGCCGGTCACCGAACATGCACTCGTACTCCAAGTTCTTCAAGGTCTCCCCCACGACATCCGGAGTCAAGTGCAATTCTTGCAATATCAAAACCCGCTCCCCACGTTCTTGGAAGTTCGGTCGGCGTTACTTCTTGTTGAACAGCAGCAACACGACTCTCACTATGGTTCCGGCACGTCACCCACAGCCCTTCTCAGCACTGGAGGTCACGGCAGCCATGGGGGGAGCGCACATCGCCAAGATTGGGGCAGCGCCTATGGCAGTTCTGGGAACAGCGGCAGCGGCAATTTTGGCAGCGGACCTGGCGGAGGCTCTGGCGGACGCGGCAGGTCCTCAGGCGGCGGCGGCGGTGGCAATCGCGGCAGGGGCCGCGGTCGAGGTCGTGGCAGCGGCGGTCATCTGCGGCAACCATCGGGCTTCAATCCCTGGACATTTCCCTCTCCCTCCCCTGGTGTTCTTGGGCCTCGGCCCAACCCGCCTAACCCACTAGCCCAAGCCCACATCCACACTTCTCCTTATTATT